CTCTGTGTCGCAGGAAGTGGGCCTTTAGGTTCCCTCTGGTTGTAAAGCGGCTCAAGCAAACCGGACACTGGTAGGGCCTCTCACCTGTATGTGACCTCAGATGGATCTGGAGAGATGAATCGCTGCTCAACACCTTCCCACAGAAACGGCACACATGCTGAGGGCGTCCTGCTGAGGAGGCGGAGCCCAGAGAGGAGCTGGGCTGAAGATCCTGGGAATGGCTGACGGTAGGAAGGGGAGGAGTTACGAAACTGATACCATTGTTATGACCGAACGAGGAGGTGTTGGATGATTTCTCATTGAGGTAGCGCGGTGGTAGACCCAATGACAAGGACAAAGGGTGTAGGGACGCAACAGAGGAGCTGATAGAGGATGAAATAGATGAGGAAGATAAAGAGGAAGAGGTAGAGGAAGATGGAGCTCTGCTGCCATTAACATGTGAAGCACCTGTTTTGGAGACAGGTTGGGGAAAGAGGGAAGACGGAAGGCCAGTCAAAAGTGATGAGGCTGTGGTTACTGGCGTGGCAGTGGAGGGGTGTGTTGGTGATAAAGATGCTGCTCCTGTAGATTTCTGGTTGCTGTCAGCACCAATAGCCTGTGTGTTATTATCATGGCCAAAGACAGCCCCTCCAAGCCTTAGAACGTGCCTACAGATCTCCTCTGTTATCTGCATCTGGTGGATTTGCCTCTGCTGTAAAACCCTGAGCTCCTCTAGTAGTACTGCCAGGGTCGGCGGCACCTGGATCTGTCCCTGCTGCCCTGGAGAGCTGGAGGCCTGCTGCTGACCTGGACTGGAGCTGTCACGGTGAGGCTGCACACACTGAGAGGAGGAGGAGGAGGAGGAGGAAGAGGAGGAGGAGGTAGTGGTGGTGGCTGAGCTGCCCATTGGCGGGGATGTCATTGTGGAATGAGAGTTTCCTTGGTGGGACAAGCTGTGGGAACCTGAGGTTTGACCCAGGGGAGGAGGTGAGTGAGTCTGGGACGACAGTGAGGGATGAGGAAAGTCTGGGGAGAGGGAAGAATGGGTGTTGGGGAGGGAGGTGGTGAAGGGGGCAATGTTGCTAGGCCAGTGAGGAGGAGGCGAGCTCTCGCTGGGCAAGGAGGGCGCGTGGAGCCCACCAGGGGATGGGCGAGGGGCCAAAGGCGGCTGGCAATCTTGGAGAGAGGTGGGGGACGAGGAGGAGGACCCTGATGAGGTCACTTCTGAGCCAAGAGATGTGGACGGTGACTTCATGCCCAGGTGGTCATCTGAAAATTGAAAGAAGAAAGGAGAATAAGAACTTTTTAAAAACTTTATTTACTTATTTGCTTCCTTGTAAGTTCATTATTATGCAATCTCCAATATCAGCCCAGATATCCAGGTATGTAAATTCATTAAAACTTTCTTCAGTTTTGAAAAAGAGTGTTTATTTCATTGCTTCCAGTTATTGTTTACAAGTTTTGTTTGCAAATGTGTGTGCATACCAAAAGATCCTATTACGACTTCAAAAGTAAATTCCTGCTAAGAAATGGCCTTGAACAAAAAAAATAAACAAGTGAAAGAAACTCGGCAGTCTATGAGTCTTTGTAATGTCTTGTCTCAATCTGTGCTCTCCGGAGCAAAACTCCTCAAACATCTTGCACACACAAAAAAGCTTACAGACCACCTTGCTGCTATGGCAACACATTTTAGAGGACAATGGGCATCACCAAGACAACCCATAACCCCTCTTAACCTACCCCCTCCCTACAGCAGTTACGTCTTTCATCTCCCTATTCACCCTTCCCCCCTTACGTCACAGTGGAGGTCAAGGGTCAGGCCACGCTAAGGGTTCTGGGCACTGTCCAGACACTCTGATTGGTCAACTAATCTGACCTCTGCTGCTCAGGGGTCAAATTCTTTCAGAATCTTGAGCACAGAGTGAGAAGGAGTAAAAAGAAAAAGAAGGGGGAGGGTAACAACAATGGAGAGACAAACTAACTATTCCCTCCTGGAGTGATATAGTGATGGCATGAAAGACTGTACCTCTGTGAAATTCCTTCCCTTCCGTGACTTACAAACAAACCTGAACCTGCAGAAAACACTAAAATAACTCCCAGGCTAAACTTCCACTTTCATTTGTGGAAGTTTACCTGCAGAGCCTCGGGTGCATGCACTTGAAGACCCATTGCAACAAGGAACAAGTGTGAGAGCAATGTCTCTATCCCCTCTGAATCTTTTTTTTCTCATCTATCTAAGCCCCCCCACCCCCCCCCCCCCCCCACCCTCCCCAAGTGCGAGGGGTATACAGTCATAGACTTGGCGGGGTGGGGGGGGGGGGGGGGGAGAGGGAGAAAGAAAAGGGGAGGGAAGTATTGAGAAGGTGGAAAATGGGGGAAGTGGGGTGCATAAGAGAGAAAAGCATGGACGGAGAGCAAAAGAAGAAGAGAATAGAAGGGTGGAAGATTAATCTTTACCAAAAACACTGCCTTCCCTTCCCCCCACCCATGCACCTTATTGTTAACAAATAAGAGTGCTCTATACTAATCAAAGACCTCCAGCAGTCAGCCCTGAGCAGCCTGTTGGTTTCCTAGAGGACGAACAGCACATGAAAATGGCCACAGATGTATGTTAGTTAATCCTACTCTATTCACTTCACAGGGACAAGTTTATTGGCCCCGACCAAAGTGCGTAAGGCCTCCATTTAGTGGGGCCCATTACAGTTAATGACAAAGCAGGAGGGGTTTCTTTAGTTGACAAACTTAGATCTTAAACTTTTTTTTTTGTCTCTTAAATCAGGTGCGTTTGTTGGAATGTGGCCATGCGTAAATCAAAGTGTGAAAATGACAGCAATCCACGAGAAACTACAGAATAAATACACAATTCACGTAAATCTAAACCCAAAGCGTTCCCTTTTGTTAAGTAATCTGAAGATTGTTAAGACTCCCAAAGTGAATGAGCACCATTAGGGATGCAGGATGGTTGCCATCTTAAAAGAAATGCAAGACAAAAAAAAAAAAAACGCATGCACACTCGTAAAGATGTTTTCTCACCGTGAGATAGAAGCCTTGGGCCCCCCGGATCCGCGTTAACGAGATGCTGGGGTCGCTTCTGCTTCCGGCGTGACATGATTCACGGCGAGTCAGACGAAGAGGGGGGCATCAGTCGGTTGAATGGCACTAGGCACGTTTTTGCGCACTTGGAAGCGCTCCTGAAACCATCCAAGCATCCAAAGTTCAAAAGTCGCGCAAAATCCCGCAAAGTCCTGAGATTAAAAGAGAAATTTCAAAGGCAATGTGTAAGATCACCTCTAAATGCAAAAAGGAGCGTGTTTTTTTGTTTAGAAGAAAGTCAAAAAAGGTGTCTGGAAATCCGCAGGTCTGCACCGTGTCATAGGAAGCTGCCGCGAGTGCGTGTGTGTGGCTGTTTTCTAAAGTCTCTTCTCCCCAAAAAAACTTGTCCAATTTGCGCCCCTCCTCTCCCACTGCTGCCCCGCTGCATGCACATACAGGGAGCACACACACACACACACACACGCATACAAACACACACTATACACACACACAGAACCACTCCTTGTTCTTCAGTGATATTTGCATTTCAATGGCGTGTAACACACAGCCTCCCTGGTTCTCTCTTTCTCTTTCTCCACAGCTTTATTTTTTCTTTACACACTCACCCAGCAGCTATAAACTTTCAATAAAACATGACAATTAGGTGTCAAAGCCGTTGGAAGCCTAAAAAACAAATTTAAATGGGCTGCTAGAGTTGGCTTTGGCCCATTGCTAAAGATAAACGTTTAATCTTTCATGGAGGGAAATGAAATCATCATGGGTCAAATTAAGATACAATAACATGTCTAAAAGAAGTCGGGTGACTCATCAATTAGGTGTCATCTGTTTATGACCCCCCCTATGTGCACTGCGCCTAGTGTTTAGTTCCCAGCAAGCTGGATAAATAATGAAATCATAGCCATAATAAGTGGCTGGCAGGTGGTTTTCCAGAGTCAAAAATCCGTCTTCCCAGTGGTATTATTGCGGCTGATGAGGCGATATTTCTCCCCTTTGATTTCCATAGGGCCAATTATCCACAGCGGTGCAGTGAGTGGCTGTTGTGTGCAAGTGGGGCCACACAGCCATTCCACATGCATGCATGTATTTCGTGTGTTATCACCAAAGCGTATAATACCCCCTCCCACCCCCCCACACCCCCCTCAAAAAAAAAGCATCTTACACTGGAGCTCTATTTAAAAGGCAGAGAATAGATGGGAATCTTTGACAATGGCGTGCTGGACACAGTTGAGTGAGCATCTCCCCTCTCTCACTATGAACCCCCGGATCCACTGCTGCACAGCACAATGCCCCTCTTTCACCCCCCGCCTTTACT